GGGGTGCAGTGGGGGTGCGGGTTGCAGTGGGGGCGGGGTGCAGTGGGGGCGGGGTGCAGTGGGGGCGGCGTGCTTAGCGTTGGCACGTACACAGCCTTCCTGCATACTCTGAGAGGTGGGCTGTGCAGTCAGACAGGCTCCAAACACTTCCTGCGCGCTCCTGTCAGATGTGCAGGAAGCAGGCTTGAGAGAGGCTTTAGGGGTAGGAGCTGCAGGGCGGTGAGATCGCAGCTTGCCCTGCCCTGCTGGGGACCCACCCTGCCTGCTGAGTGTGCCTGTCTGTTCCCGCTCTCCTGGCCTCCCCTGACCAGGCCGTGACCGACCGCGCAGCCTCTCCAACCCCAGTGCTTTTAAACCGGGGTGGCGATGATCTTCGTTTAACCCCAGAACTCACCCCAAAGCTGGGTGTGGCGCCATGGGCTTTTGAATTCCTTGTGCTGAGGCAGGTGGATGGAGCCACTGGGCAAACAGCAGGCCAATGAGAGACCTGTCTCAAGAAACAAGGTAGATGGCATCTGAGGATCAGGAACTGAAGTTGTTTTCTGATGTCCACAAGCACATGCATGCATATCACACACATTACACACACAGGCACACACACACACACACACACACACATGAACCCACATACACACGAACATATGTACACACAGGAATACATATACACACATACCACACACATACATGAACACACATATGCACACACAACAAACACATACACACAGGCACGAATACACACCAACACACATATGCACACACATAGGCACATACACACATGAACACACATACATGGACACACAGAGACATGCATATACACATGAACACACACATGCACACACACAAACACACATATTTATACACACACACACACACGCACACACACATGCACACACGCTCACACTCATGCACACAATTCTCTGGCAGGGATTCCTGAAGAATAGGTTAAAAAGCAAAGAAAAACTTTTTTCTATGTGTGCCCTACTGACTTCATTTATTATAAAATAAAACAATAATTTTAGCTATCCCCCAGTTTTTATTATAACCTTCCTTCAAGTTGAATTTACACAACTCAGCTTTGTGCTAAGTAATTATATTTGTGATGTCATGTGTTTGGTATGCTAGCTATGTTTGTTAGGGAGAAAGAATAACTTGACCACTAAACATTTTTAAGTGTTATTAAAGTAGCATCTAAGATTGTCACACGAATGCCAACACATGTCACTTTGAAAAGGCTGGTCTGGGGCACTAAGGGAACCCGGAAAATTTAGTTAACAGGACAAGGTTGGCCCAACCTTGGGCCAACAGCTACACCTGTTTTCATGGCAGCCTTCAGGAATAAAACTTCTGCTTTGGATCTAGGCACTGTGTGGACACTGTGGATCTAGGCACTGTGTGGACACTGTGGATCTAGGCACTGTGTGGACACTGTGGATGTAGGCACTGTGTGGACACTGTGGATGTAGGGACTGTGTGGACACTGTG